AAAAAAAAAAAAAAAAAAAGAAATGTCTTTTCCTATTCATAGCAAACTCCTTTCAACCATATCTGAGTTTATGCTAAGGGGACAAAAGAGGATTTTTTGCATGGGGTGGGGTAGTTTATAGCTTCAGGGTGGGGCTGGTCATCAGATCATCTCAACCATGTGAATCTAAGGTCAGACTTGCAGCCCCACTCCAAGACTTAATAGGGAAGAAGAGCTAAAGATTGGAGATTGAACCTCTAGCCAGTGATTTAATAAACCACACCTAAGTAATGAGACCCTGATTAAAAAAAATACTCTGAACACATCAGTGTACTGGGAAGGTGATGTACCCCAACTCCAAAAAAACAGAGGTTCCTGAGCTTGGTACCCTTTTGCACATCACCCTGTGTACCTCTTCATCTAGCTGTTCTCTTGTAGCTTTTACGATAGACTAATACTCATAAGTATAGCTCTTTCTGGAGCTCTGTGAGTTATTCTAAGGAATTATCCAACCTGAAGAGGGTAACAGGAACCTTCTCATTTGTAGCCAAGTTGGACAGAATGCAGGTGTCCTCGGAACTTGGGACTTGCAGTTGGCATCTGACGCGGAGGCAGTCTTGGGGAATTGAGCTTTTTCATCTGTGGGGTCTGCACTAATTCCTGGTAGTCAGTCTCAAAATTAAGGGATTTTGTCCTAAACTTGTAGGGTCTGCCCTAACTGCAGAGAGTTAGTATCAGAACTGAATTGAATGGTAGGACACCCAACTGGTATCAGAGAATTATTGTTGGAATGACATAATTTGTTAATCTCTGAGCCAGATATGCGAGACCATTGAGTGGTCAGAAAGGCATACCATGTAATGGCAATGCCAAGATTTGGCGGTTTTGCCAAGGTAAGAGTATTCATGACAATAATTCATCTCAAGAATTCTCATTTTTATTTTTTAAAAGCTCCATTTCAATAATGATGAAAATAACAACAATAACAATGACACTAGCGGCTACTATTGGTTAGTCATCTATCATGTGATCTAAAAGTTGCTAAGAACTTCGCACTTATCAACAATCCTTAAGAGTCCTCAGGGCAATAATGTGAGCTAAGTATCCTCATTTTCCCTGTCTCTGTCTCTGTCTCTGTCTCTCTCACTCTCTATGTCTCATTGACTTATTGTATATTAAAATTTGATAGAAATTAATCTATGGAGGATTTAAGGTAACATTGTAGACACAAGGTCATCTCTCCCCACATTACACTCTCGGGAAGTGTATTATTCTTAAAGAAATGATTAAGGGGACAGGATCCAATGTTCTATTGTTGTTTAAAAATTGGCTAAGAGATAATGTCATCATGTCTGTCCTGTGGGTATTAGAAAACTCCAATATCACAGTTGTTAAACTTTTCTCAAGGTCACAGAGAAACA